TAACTTCCCTGGCGAGCTCTGGTGGCCTAGTGGCAAGAAGCTGAACTGCAATCCCAAAGGTGCATGGTTCGAAACCACCAGATGCTCTGCTGAAGAAGGAGGGACAATCTCATTCTGTACCAGTCAGATCGGATTTGACGGTACACACATAAAAAAAAAATAATATTAAAAAAAAACCTTCCCTAATAAACTCCATAATAACACACACACACACAAATTGATGTTTTGAGCTCTGGTGTTGGAGAAGAGCACTGAATACCTCATAGGCTACCAGAAGAACAAATAAATATATCTTGGAGAATATACATCTGAGTGTTTCTTGGAGGCAAAGACGATAAAACTTCATCTCACATACTTTGGGCGTGTTGTTAGAAGAGGTTATTCCTTGAAGAGGGAAATCATGGAGAGGGAAGGTGGAGGGATGGCAAAGAGGAAGACCCTAAACCAGGTGCATTGACACAGTGACAGCAGCAATGGGCGTGAGTGTGTCAGAGGCTGTGAGGATGGCACAGGACTGGACAGGGTTCCCATCTGTTGTTCATAGGGTCACTGTAAGTCATGCTCGACTCAATGTCGTCTTAAAACAAAAACACCTACATACCCCATAGACTGCCAAAAAACCAAACAAATCTGTGCTGAAGGAAGTACACCTCGGTACTCCTTACAGGCAAGTTTGTGAAACCTTGTCTCCCTTAAAACTGGACGAATTTCCAGGAGGAACCTGTCCTTGGGGAGGGACACGATGCTGGGAAAGGAAGAGCGTCACAGAAGGAGAGGAAGACTCTCAACCAGACGGGCTGACAGGGACTGCAGCAGTGGGCGTGGGCATGACAGACTGTGAGGCGATGCAGGACGGGCCAAGGTGCAGATCTGGCCACAGGACTGGAGTCGACAGCACCCAACAGCGATGCACCCACCTGAGCATTCCAGCGCTGGAATTGCATTTGCCAAAGGTGTTTTGGATTTTTGTTGTGGTTTGTTTTTTTTTTTTAATTTATTTTGGCTCTGAGAGAGCTAGTGTTAGCTGTTGGTCACTGAAGGGTATTTATGGATTTTTTAACAGCACTGGAGCGCCATGCTGGGGGACGGTTTGGTGGTGCTGTGGACAGCTGACTGAAAGGGTGGAGCTCGAGTTTTGACTGTGTATTGGAAGTCATATTGGTAGATGTATTGGTGTGTTATGTTTCACACCCCCCCACACACACCCCCTACACCCATTGCTTTGTCAAAGAAACTTAATTCCGCAGCTTGGTCCTGGGGCCACGGGGGCCGTGGGGAGGAGACCATGGCAGATGGCGCCTGAGGCCTCTTCCAGTCCCTTTTCCCTTTGAAGGATTTTTCACCCAGGATTCTGGTTCCCTCGAGCGGTAAGGAGATGGGACCCCTGAAACCCTCCAGCCTGTGAAATCCAAACCACCTCAGGCAGCAGACAGGCGGGAGCCCTCACAGCCTCTTCCACCCCCACCTGGGGACCTGAGGATGCAGAATGTGGAGCTGTGCCCACAGGAGGGGCCGTTCCTACGATGGCTGGCAAGGGCCTCTAACCCACATCCTGTGAACACTGTTTTCTCGGACGTGCTAACAACTGAACAAACACATGGTTTTCTCTTGGATGAGCTCTGAAATCTGGGGGGGCTGCCCCAGGCTGGGCGAGCATTTAGTGTTTAGCTTGGGGTCTTCAAACCTGAGTCTACGACAGTAGATGACAGGCAGGTGTCTTTTAAAGCATCCTTTGGATTGGCTAAAGGGTCTTGAACTCCTGAACAGGGCTAAGCCAGATTGCTCATAGGTGCCATCGAGTTAGCCCCGGCTCAGGGTGCTGGGCCCCCGACTTTCTTCACAAGACTTAAGTCCATTGTTGTAACCGAAGTCTGTTTCACGGAACCCTGGTGTGTTACGTGTTGGACTGCTAACCCACAGATCACCAGCTCAAACCGACCGGCTGCTTCTCATCAAGATGAGGCTGTGATCTGTGTTAAGATGCCTGTTTAAAAGGGATATGTGATGAGGTATTTTTGTCATGACAGGAATCCGGAACCAAGACTGCATAGTGGAGTGGACCTGGGCGGAGGGTCTGTAAAACAATGAAAGAATTTTTCTTTTACTTTTCAAGGAGAAGAGGTGGGCAAGGGGGAGCAGAGGAAAAGTGTAAATTTTCATTAAAATTAATAATAATTAAAAAAGGTTAAATAAAAAAAGATGCATAGCCTTGGAAACCTGGAAGCCCAGGTGCATGGATCGGAGTGGACTTGCAGTGGGCTTGGCTTTGGGTTTCACTGCAGACCTAGGGTCTCACCTCCAGCACCATATTGGATAATACTGGCATGAGCCCTAGAGTTGCGCTGGCTAATTTTTGCAAATAGCTTTATTTTTTTTTTTTAATTATTTTGTGTGTGTGTACCATCAAATCGGATCAGACTGGTGCAGGAGGAGATTGTCCCTCCTTCTCCAGCACAGCATCTGGTGGATTTGAACCATATACCTCTGGGATTACAGTGCAGTGCAAATAGCTTTCTGGACCTTTCTTCATAGTCTCAGTCTGGCAGTTGTGCTGAAGCCCATGGGTGACCCTGCTGGTATCTGAAATCCTGGTAACATAGCTTCCAGCCCCAGTGGCTCGGCCCCAGAGGGGCTTCCGGCTGTGTCCCAGGGATCCGCTGAGCATCACAGCACACAGCCTGGTTCTCACACACAGGCACCTATTTCTCTCACACCTTTGACAGGTTTGTCTGGGGAATCCTCTACCTCAGTGGGCCTGTCTGCACCCACGAGGAGTCCCCTCAGACCTTCCCTCTGCTGTTCTAAACAGCCTTAGTCTGTGACACTGGCTGGTCATTCTGGCCCCCGCTTCCCTGTACGTTCCTCTCTGGCTTCATCTGTGAGCACCTGCTTCAATCCTTACTGGCCCCTGGGGGCTAGGGAAGGAGCTGACTGACCCCTGCCACTCGCCCGGCAAACCCACCTACTAGACCCCACCCAGTGCTGAGCCGCAGGGGCACTGACCCCTCCACCCCTCCTCTACAGCTCAGGGGTTCAGGCCCGAGATGATGTGAAGGTCTGAGAGGTGTGGCCTGGCTTTAGGGTGGCAAACCTCCTCAGCTCTGCCTAGTCCTTAATTACCAAATGCTCCTAAACTCTGTGTCCCCAGACCCAGGAAATCTACTCCAGCTTTCCTCTCACCTGACTCAAAAGAAGGGGACAGTGAGCCCTGGGACCCCATCTCCTGCTTGGTTACAAGCCTTGTCCTACTAAGAGGAGGTAGCACCTACTGCCCACTAGGCCGACTGGGCATGGCAGCCCCCTCATGCTAGCAGGAGTCTGCCTGCCTCCCATCTCGTTTGACTGGCCTGAGCAGGGGCCCGGAGGTCTGCCTGCCAAGGTCTGGTAGGTGCCGTGAGGGGAAGGCCTGAGCGGGCCCGGCAAACACCATGAAGGGAAGGCCTGATGAGGCCTGGAGTGGCGGGTGCTGGTGTGGAAGCCTGACCAGTCCTGGAGTGGTGGGCATTAGTGAGAAGGCCTGATTAGGCCTCGCAGTCACCGTGAGAGGAAGGCCT